AACGCCCTGGCCTGTTTTTTTCCATCTCATATCATCGAATCAAATCGAAACGTCAGGGAAATCAGAAGAACCGTCAAACAATCAGGGAAACAGAAAAATTGAAAAATTAGAAAATAAAAAAATCAAAAAATTCAAGGCAATCAAGAGGTCGAGGATCCGAGAGCCCAGGGGGGGGGAAAAAAGGAGGGGGGGAGAGAGAAAAGGCCCTCTGCATTCCCATAGCTCGTGCTGATCCATCGAGGGCACAGTGTGCGCCCGAGCCAACAGCCCAGTGATCCATCCTGCACTCCCCCCATTTATTGCACCTGTACTCTCATGTAAACATGTGCGTGTGTGTGTGCGTGTGTGTGTGTGTCCCACCCCATTCCCTCCGGGGGACGAAGGGGTCCGAGGGGATGGTTGCCCGGAGAGCAACCGGCCCTCTCGGCCCAGTCGCCCCCCAGACACCATACACACACAAACAAACAGACACACAGGGACATGCGCACAATGAGTGCATTAGTCAGTAACACCATATAGGTCAAGCAAGGCTTCCCTGACCGCATGCACAGAGACTCTTCCGGGCTGATAACGGTGTGCGTTCCGTAGAGTTTTCTTCACCACTCTCCAGCACACCTCTGTAGCGAAACCGTTCCCTCTCATGATCGTGACGACCTTGTTGATTTATTCGGCAACGTCCTTAGGTTCGGAGCACAGAAGCATGATCAGCGCAACCTGCGTCGTGATGATCTGGAGTGACTGCTTGGCGCTCCTGTTGGATCTGTATCTCATAAATCTGCATGGAACAAAACCCAGACCCAGTCTCTTGTCATGCCTGTAAGTAGTGTAGGATCCTGTAATCGGGGAAGTGATCGAGATGGTCATACTGAGGAAGTTGGCCTTACATCCCCATCCGTCCACAACAACCTCCGTGTTCTCCTCAATCTTTATGAATTCGTCAGGATAGATCCAACAAGGGTCATCGTTCTCTCTGTCCTGTCTGCTCCTCATGAAGTCCCTGATGATCGTGTTGTTAATAGAGCTCAGATCATCGATGTACCTGACTGTGTTCGCGAAGCATGGAACCAGATGTGCATTGCCGGTGTCGATCAACCTCATCATGGCGTGATATTCATACTTGAAAAAGTAGATATCACACCATATGGGGGAGCAGGCGAGCCCCATGGGGATGCCTCTGGTCTGCCTCCACACGTGATCTCCCATGCGTAAAATGCTGTTCACTATGCACCACTCCGTGAGCCAGTAGATATCCTGTTCGTTGAAGATCATTGAATCCATGCCCTCCGCCTGCCCGGCGTCCACCCATGCCGGTCGAAGCCTGCCGTCTGCTTCGACGTTGACCTTGATGGCGTGACTGGAGCTCCTCTCCCTTTGTACACGCATCGCACATTGCACATAGAACTTGACTGCTGCCGGGAGACTGTCCTCCGAACAGTCCGTGGGGATCATCTCGAAACACCGCGTGATGTCAGTTGTGAAGACAGAGA